TCGACATGCCTCATTCTAAATCAATGTCAGTCGTTGCGGGTTCGTATGGATACATCGCTCCTGGTAAGCTCTTTGTTCTGACTTGAGTATCTTAATATTTCTATTTGTGAGATCCCACCTTTGTTGGAGAGAGGAACAAAACATTCTTTATAAGAGTGTGGAAACCTCTCCCTAGCAGACGCGTATTAAAAACCTTGAGGGGAAACTCGAAAGGGAAAGCCCAAAGAGGACGGTATCTGCTGTAAGGGTGTAGAAACTTCTCCCTAACAGACACGTTTTAAAAACCTTGAGAGAAAGTCCGAAAAGGAAAGTCCAAAGAGGACAATATCTACTATAAGGGTGTGGAAATCTCTTCCTAGCAGCGTTTTAAAAACCTTGAGGGAAGCTCGAAAGGAAAAGCCCAAAGAGGACAATATCTACTATAAGAGTATGGAAACTTCTCCGTAGCAAACACGGGGCCCGAAAGGGAAAACCCAAAGAGGACAACAACTGCTATAAGAGTGTGAAAACCTCTCCCTAGCAGCCACGTTTTAAAAACCTTGAGGGAAAGAGGACAATATCTACTAGTTGTGGGTTTAGATTGTTACACTATTAGCTAACAATAAAGTTCATACATAAATCGTGAACAGTAGCTAATCTCTCTTTTGGTGCAGAATATGCATACACTATGAAGGTTACCGAAAAATGCGACATTTATAGTTTTGGGGTCGTTCTTCTCGAGTTGTTAACGGGAAAAACTCCCGTTCAACCATTAGATCAGGGAGGTGATCTTGTAACATGGGTCAAAAACTTTTTCCGTAACCATTCATTCACATCGAGAATATTTGATTCTCGGTTGAACCTTCAAGACCGAAGTATCGTCGAACACATGATGTCCGTACTTAAAATCGCTCTAATGTGCACAAGTATGTCTCCTTTTGACCGACCATCGATGCGGGACGTTGTATCAATGCTTATAGAGTCTAACGAGCAAGAAGTGAATTTCGTTCCATCTCCGAATTCCGAAATTCCCCTCAAAGATAACACAGTATGACAGTTCATCCATACTAGTTGCTGATTGTTCCTCCTGATTTTTTTTTTTTTTTTTAACAGAAATTGATTGGTTTCATTTCATAGTAATTCTGTATTTTTGTTAAAGAAACTAATACAATTTTTCATGTATAGTTGGTAATACCATTGTTTTGTATGTAAAACATCAGTCTTAGCAATAAAAGTCTAAGCTTTTCCCATTCCATCGCTCGTCTTTCAGGTCAATAATTCAATCTTTCAATATTTGACAATATAAAACTCTTAGAACGTTTGATATCTTACATAGATGGACCTTACAATTTGAGCTTGGTCTTTCAAAGATATCTAAGTTTACAACTCGTCTCTTTTAATTATAAGATCGATGTTTTAGATACAAGACGATCAAATTGTTCGTATTCGTATGAAAACGAGCTCATTCACTGTCTCAATTTTACTCTTGTTGAGTTTTAGCTCAATCATTAAAAAATGGAGATTTTGATAATTATAAATTTTTTTATAATTTTAATAAACTTCTGATCAAAATTGACATTGAATTTGCGGTAAAGGAAATTGGTATCAAATAAGTTTATTATTTTATTTATATATAAAAAAATAATTTTTTTTTTAATATATTTTTGGTAATATTGGAAAGCACTTGAGAAGTGAATGTGGGTTTTACTTTTGGGTTGATTGGATGTAATTCCAATTCAAATAAAGGCACTTGAGAAGTGAATGTGGGTTTTACTTTTGGGTTGATTGGATGTAATTCCAATTCAAATAAAGGCATATGATCTAAGATATTCCTTTAAGCCTCCTCTCATGATTTGAATAAATCCCACTGTAAAACAATTGCCCCCCACATATGAAACCATCATAAGGACCTCTCATGATTTGAATAAATCCCACTGTAAAACAATTGCCCCCCACATATGAAACCATCATAAGGATTTTTTTTTTTTCAATTGACTTCGAATTATATGAAATCATGTTAAAAAGTTGAAAAATATTAAATATCTCTACGTAGAATATTTGTGAGATTCCACATTAGTTAGAGAGGAAAACAAAATTTTTTTTGGAAACCTCTCTCTAGTAGACACGTTTTAAAACCGTGAGACTGACGATGATAAGTAACGAACTAAAGCGGACAATATCTACTAATAGTGGACTTAAGCTGTTACAATATCTATTACTGATAAACAAACTATTCTCGTAGGTACAACTCAAATTTGTAAATATAGCAACTNTTTTTTTTTTTTTTTTTTTTTTTTTTTTTTTTTTTTTTCATATTGGACTCAAATAATTAAACAAGATTGTATAGCAAATGTTTGATAAAGTGTTGGCAATAATTTTAGTGAGGTAGAAATCTAATCACACTAAGATAATATTTTTTTAAAAAAAATGGTGGCATTTTATGGGTTCGGTCATCTCGAATTTCAAATCAAGCTAGTTGGGCGATATTATATTTTAATACTTTTTGTAATTTCATATGGTTGTTATTAATTGTTAATATGTGGTGACTCGAATTTTGCTTAATTCCATTCGTAAGGCCTTTGACCTAATTATTGCATCTAAGAAATTCAGAAACCTAACAAAGGTTTGATTCATTACGTTAACTTAAAGTCGTAATTCAAAGTTTCTACTCGAATGGACTTAGAACATATTCACATAGTAACATTAGAATTCTTTTATGACAGGTTATATAATGTGTTAAATCAATAAATGTGTTTGTATCACTTTTTAACTTAATTTTACATGTTTTTTACTTTTGAACTAATTTAATTAATTAGACTTAAAAGAGCAATTAACGGGAGCACTTCTATCTTTTCAAGGCTAAGAAAAAATTACAAATTTAATCTCTAAATCTAAATTTTAAAGGGAATGTTTTGATTCTAAACCTTTTTTTTCAAAAAAAAAAATCTAAGAAGTCTCTAATTTTTCATCAATCTAATAATTTTCTTCAAAAAAAAAAATTTGTAAAGAGTTTTGAAAGATTATTTTTTTTTTTTTTATTTTACAAATTAATGAATCTATAAGATGTAAATTTGAATTTTACCTACAAAAATTCTCAAAACTTCAATTTATCTAATAAATTCATGAATTAAAAAAAAAAAGTCAAGAAATAAGTTTGTAATTTTAAAACTTAAAAGATCAAATAAATAAACATATATATATATATATATTAAAATTCAAAAACTTCAATTTATCTAATAAATTTATGAATTAAAAAAAAAAGTCGAGAAATAAGTTTGTAATTTTAAAACTTAAGAGATCAAATAAATAATATATATATATATATATATATATATATATAAAACAGCTGTTTCGACCACCTTGGATGCCGCAGCGTGTCACAATCCATGGAGGAGTAGAAATGTCCAAAAGCCTCCTCAAATTCGAAGCGTGTTTGTGGAAACTTGAGGACATTTAAGAGATTTACGAGCAGGCAGTATTATAAAAATTCTAGGGCGACGAGAAAGAACAGGTTGAAGGATGAGTAGGTAGAGATGGCAAAAAAAAAAAAAAGTACCGAAACTGGGCAACAATTTAAATTTGCAGTCCACGGCAACAAATGGAGGAAGGAAATCTGTACATCATGTCAGGAAAATCTTCAGCGTAGCCTCGGGCCGGGCCCTGCATGAAATTCAATTGCCCATTTTTCTGCGGTAGTAGATATGTTATGTCTAGTCTTTTTCAAGTAAGATATCTTTTAGAATCCCCCCCAAAACCGAATCTACAAATATTCTTACCAAACTATCCACTTTTCTGGTTCTAAATGTTTCCATTTAGCCTACAAATATAACACAGGCTGATTGTGATTTTAGTCATGACCTTGATGATATATACTATTTTTAATAGATTGGTTGCACCATCAAACTAACTTAGTTATAGTTATGGGGTTGGAATGGTTATGGATAGTTGGGAGAAGAGTACCGCATCGACTAATTAAGGGCTTGATCATGAATTTATAAGTAATACATCTCACTAAACATTTTGGGGAAACTAAAAGTAAAGTTATGAGAGTTAATGTTCAAAGTGGACAAATAGCATACCATTGTAGAGTGACATAGTTCTTAACATAGTATCAGAGTCATGTCAATAGAATACTCAAGTGTCGAACAAAGAAGTTGTGAGTCTCGAAGGTGTAGTCAAAAGTGACTCAAGTGTCGAACAAAAGGTGTATTCTGTTCGAGGACTCCAAATAAAGAGTCGAGCTTTGATTAAGAGGAGGTTGTTTGAGGGCTCTATAAGCCTTAGGGGAGGGCTCTATGGTGTACTTGGTTCGAGAAGAGGATTGTCGTGAGAGGAGTCTCATATAGGTTAATTAAGGGGTTGATTATGAGTTTATAAATAAGGAATAAATCTTTATTGGTATAAGGACTTTTGAGAAACCAAAAGTTAAAAGTAATAAGAGCTAATGTTCAAAGTGGACAATATATTGGGTGGTTGCTAACAGGAATTACCCGTCCAAGTTTTGTTACTACTGCTGCCTGCCATATGTCCCTGTGAACAAAATCAGAGAAGCTTAGAATCAATGGCTATCTCTTCTCTTTGCTCCTAGCAGCCTCCTTACTCTCCCCTAGCAATTCTTTTGACCTCAAACATTGCTCCACAAGTTTGGCTGTGGCTAAGGTTGAGCCTATAAGAACTACGGGACTTGTCTAATGGCTAGCATGGCTAATAAAGTAGCTTGATTAAGGTTGAGCCTATAAGAACTACGGGACTTGTCTAATGGCTAGCATGGCTAATAAAGTAGCTTGATTATGTAAGGACCGCTGACTATCTAAGAAGCTTGATGACTCTGAAACTAAATTAGTTTCTTATTATTATATATTCTCACTCTGTTTCCTGTCTGTAGGATCAAGAGTATCCAAAAAGCAGAGTACCGAATAAAGGCAATTACGGACCATTATAACTGTCTGTAGGATCAAGAGTATCCAAAAAGCAGAGTACCGAATAAAGGCAATTACGGACCATTATAAGCCACAGGATAATTGAACAAACATTACTTATTATTAATAAACTCAAAAAGTACACGGTACACCGGTAATATAGACAGACTTGATCTATCTACCCAAATCATTAAAAAAGAAACAAAGAAAAAAGGGATTTTTACTAGATGATATTGCGCTAAGATAATCGAGGTATTCTAATTGCTTTGCTACGCTCGCATTTATATAACTTAGATGATATTGCGCTAAGATAATCGAGGTATTCTAATTGCTTTGCTACGCTCGCATTTATATAACTCAAAATAGTAATCCATTCCTCAACTACGCTAGGCCAAAACCATGACAGTAAAAGTAAAAACTAGAGAAGTAGAACAGAGTTGAGTGAACTTAGCTGGTCTGGTGAGGAATGGATTTACCACGAGAACTTAGAGAAGTAGAACAGAGTTGAGTGAACTTAGCTGGTCTGGTGAGGAATGGATTTACCACGAGAACTCCTTCTTCCAGTTTACTTCGTCGTCACTGAAATAAAATCCATCTTCCATAACCAACCAAGAGCATTTTCTGAAAGCACTACAGCGGTAGATATCTCTTGGTACCTTAAATGCATCGAAACTCTTCCTTGTGCGGTCCAATTTGACAGTGCATGAGAATTGTGAGGTAGTAGTAATCCAGAAGTTGGTCTTGACGAGCCAACTGAAATCATCGTGCTCCTGTAGCGCACGCCCGCCGATATCACTGTCTTTGGATGCGCACCATATCACCAGAGGCAGTGAGGAGTTGTTTGTGAAGCCATTGATCACACGGACTTCGTATTCTATGCCATACAGTTGATCTGGAGGTAATAATGACATGAAAACAGTGAAAAATGGGAAGAAAATGAGCATCAGAATGCTAATGAGGATCTTCATGAAGAGTGGAAACAGGAAAATGCTTGCGTAAATGATGGCACTCTAGCTCAAGCTTTATAGAACATTTAATGTGTTGATAATCACGTTCACCATCCATATATTGTGTTGTCTAGCTCAAGCTTTATAGAACATTTAATGTGTTGATAATCACGTTCACCATCCATATATTGTGTTGATAAATATGTAGTAGACTGTGTTAAAAGAAATGGTTTTGAAAACTTAGAACTCACATATCCGGAAAACCCTATTTTGTCTTTTCTTGAAATTCTCGTAAACAAATCAAGAGAGGAACCCTATTTTGTCGGAAAACCCTATTTTGTCTTTTCTTGAAATTCTCGTAAACAAATCAAGAGAGGAACCCTATTTTGTCTTTTCTTGAAATTCTCGTAAACAAATCAAGAGAGGAACCCTATTTTGTCTTTTTCTTGATATTCTCGTAAACAAATCAAGAGAGGGTTACATGCTCCTCCATTAATTCGACACATATTCTACATATAGCACATCTGGAAGAGGAAAATGGATGCAGACCCACTAGCAGAGACGCGGCGCGTGTTTTCTAAGATCTTTCTCTAGGAAAATGATGAAAATCCTAATGACAGGGTATTCAAGTCGGCGCGTGTTTTCTAAGATCTTTCTCTAGGAAAATGATGAAAATCCTAATGACAGGGTATTCAAGTTGGCCCCTGAAGAAAATGGCAGTGTAATTTAATTATCACGAAAATACTTCACTGCAAGGCCAGTAGTCGCGAAATACTTCACGGCAACTATAAACTTTTATCAGAGTGGTACTAAGCACAATAATTTAAGTAGTCGCGAAATACTTCACGGCAACTATAAACTTTTATCAGAGTGGTACTAAGCACAATAATTTACCACATGCTAGTGCTCATGTAAGCACACTCAAAATATAATATAATTGTTCAGTGACTCTTTGAAAGTGATTTTTTTTCTAGTCATCTTGTAATCTTTCATTGAAATAGTTTATAAAATTATAGTCAATCAAAATTTTAAAATAAAATAACAATTTTTTATTAAGACGTCAAAAGCGTTTCTAAAAAGTGAAAAAAAAATTAAATAAAGAGATTATCATTAAGAATTATCTACCAAATTCTAATTTCAACGATTTATTTTATCTAAGTTCCTACATTAGAATATTACGAAAGTGCTGCCCTTGGGATCCGAGAAATACTAGATATTAGAGACAATTATCGATTAACTATACCCATGCTTTGAATATAAAAACCCAACAATTTCAGAATACCTGAACTGATTGGGTCCACTGAAACCACCTCCTGAAAATCTTCGAGATCTCCGATGACATTTTCAGGTTTGAAAGCTGTGGGCAAGCAAAAGGCGAAGTCTCAATCATCAAACATACAACATAGTTTACTTTGTTCCAGATTTTTTCAAAAAGAAAAAAGAAAATAAATAAACAAATACCGACGGTTTAGTGGTGCTCAGGTAAACGGTTATTGATCACTTCTATAGAAACGACTTTTACCATTTTCAGATTTTGGTAATATAATTTATATCAATCAACTTGGGAAACACTCGGAGATAAACTAAATTCAAGGGGAATAGGGATTTGATATTATACCTCAGAAAACAAAATGGTGTCCGTCACAGTCGCCTTACCATTAATACTGGATTGACGCCTCAATTTCTGCACAGAAATGCAACACGTGCAAGAAATCCTATAATTCGTTTCTACTTTCTCTCAAGCTTTGCTACAGTCGACAAGTGCTCTACTAATTATAGGGCCTGAAATGGCCCATACAGTGAAATGCCATCAATGGTTTCGATGCAGAAATAATTCTCATAGAAAGTTCGTGTGATCTTAAAAGAGAAATGATTTGTAACCAACATCAATCGTGAACGAACCTAGCAACTTTTGGAGAGATGATTACCGAGACGAGTAGCAAAAAACCTTTCTGAGACCTTGGCACCGAAGAAGGCTATAAGGCAGTGTACTTCTCGGCGTCACCACCGAGTCTCGAATCAATATGGTTCATTATGTTAAGACTGATGAACACAATGGAAACTGGCATTCGATTCATTCTGCAATAGAAGGATAGCACGAACATAAATCACTGACGCAGGCCATACTCTTGGATTTTTATGGGTCTGACGGAAAAGAGAAAAGAAGGCATTAACAATTTGAAAATAGAATTTAAATTTCTCCATTTATTTGAAGCCACGATTACACGGCCATGTTTAAGATATCCCCCTACCTTATTAAAAGTAAATAAAAATAAAAGCGATGATGTAGTACAAAATAAATTTATTTATACATGCTAACAAGTACAAACAATTCTATTCATAAGAATAGTGTACCTTTGGAATTGAAGTTGACTTAATAAACCCCACCCTGGCTGTCTAGACGATCTATTTCATCTTCAAGGCCAGAAAAGTGACTCAAAAGCTTGTTATGAAGTTCTCTGGAATCGACATGATTTGCCTCCAACAGTGAGAGACCCTGGCGCATAAACTTTAATCCATTCTTTAGCAATTCCATTCCCTTGCTGATCCCCTCAGGAAGCTTTCTTTTCCTGCTAGATGGTCCTTCATCAATCTCCATGCTCTTACATTCGATACCCTTTCCACTTGATTTTAGTAACGTATTGAACTTATCTTTTAACAGTAGCCCTTCTTTCATAAGCAGTAATAGCTGCTCTGCGCTCGGTGTTACTGTGAGGAGAGCCATTTCCTTCTCAAGAAATATTTTGAACTCTAACATAAACCCTTCTTCATTTACATGTTTTCCTGATTCTAAATCGTACGAAAGAGCTGCATTCTGTGGCACAAACCTCCACAGCTCATCACAAGAAGTACGTGCGGCATAATATCCAAAAGCTGTTAGCCCCAAATGTATAAATGCCCAATGCCGCTCTTTAAATAACATGTGATACAACTCCCACACAGCACAGCTTTTTGCATTATCTTCGGTTTCTGTCATTTTAATGTGTGCAAGTCCTGCCAAGAAAGGAACCAAACCTGATTTACATTCATATAACAGAGCATCTGAGGCCGTGGGTCCTGAGATAAAAAGCTTTTCCAGTTCCAAGATGACCTCCTCCATCTCATTACATGCGTAAAGATGTTTCATACACGAGATGATCCCCAATGTTTCAGATATTAGTTTTCTGCAGAATCCCTTCACTTTTTCTACTCCAGAAAGCTTGTAGCTACGGATAAGAGCAAGTAAGAACTTCAACGTTCTCACATCAATATCAGAGGTGCTTAACTTGCTGTGGGACATTATACCATCCAAATTACACAATTGCAAATAGAAACAACAAGAAAATTAGTCACATGATCGCCTGCTGAAGTGATAAAAAAACAAAACGGTATACTTCTGAAAATTGAAGTCTGGAGAGGCTTCAAGGAGTGTGGAGAGTTGGAAAAAGCATGAAGTTTCCTTAACGAGGTAAAATACAAATACTTACATGGATTGGATTGTAGTAGATGCAGAAAATACTGGCAGCCCAATTACCCTAGAAGAGAGAGCTAACATTGAAGTCTCGTCAAAACTTCCAATGAAATTCAAGTAATCGTGAATCATACTCTGAATAGCAATATTTTTAATCTTCCCAGAGAGTAAGTTTAGGGGAAAGCCTTCCAAGATCAAGGCAGCCCATATCACTGTCGATGACCGAGATTTGTCCTGAATAAAAATAGACTCACAAATCTCATTTAGTTTAGAATGTGCACCATATGTAAGTAGCATCGTTATACACCTAGCCATTTTTCTCAATGCAGAACTGTGAACAAGAACTAGTTCTGATGATGCCAAAAACTTCATTACTGAAAAAAAATTAGAGATGACACCATTCACCAGCCCATCATCTGCATAGCGCAGCATAAAGCACCACAGTTCCATAACAATGTCCCAACAAAGAAAATGAGGATGCCAGAGATTGTCAAGTAAGAAGGATTGCAGTTCCAGCCAAGCACAGCTTGAGGAGACTGCAACCATGAAAGTCTTCAATGCATGCACCAGAGAAGAGAACAGAGGCTGCCATTTTAGCTCTGTAGTTTTTCCAGAGAAATACAAGAAAGGAACTTGCAGGAGAAGAACTGATGCATATACATCTTCTTGAACTAAAATGTCCAAGAGCCCATCGAGTTTTGTCGTGATCAGTAGTTTTGTATCATCACTGAGATCGAAAGAATGCCTCAACAGATTAAGTAGAAAATTAATGCGACCAAGCAATAAGGTTTTGGCATCCTTCATGTCTTCACAATTAGTGTTAAAAATTTCATTCATTGGATCAATCCTAAAACAATTGCTGGGATCTCCATCTGGATGAGAACACCTTTCACTCGTGAATAACAAATCCATAATCCCAAGTTTCAGGTCTTGTTTTAGATCGGTGGTATTTAGAATACACTTGACCAAATCCAAGCACGTTGTCTCCAAAAGTTCAGTGATTGCTTCAGCTACAGTTCCCAGTAACTTTTCATTGCTTAGCGAAACTTTATATGTCGAGATCGTAAGAACACAAAGAATAATCTCCTTATGTACTAGATACGCCTGGCAAGGATAGAGGCATGATATTTTCACAGCATTAATCAAGAAAAATTTAACTGGAAGAAATATCCGTCTGGCTTCACTTGCAGAGACAGCTTCATTTGTTACAGAAGACCAAGTGGCTGATGCACATTTCAGAGGCTCCATAACAAGTGAAACTAGATTTAGAATAATGCCTGCTATGTTCACCTTTGATGCTAACACCCCATTCCCAAGTTGAAGCAAGGTAAACACTCCTTTCCATGACACGTTGAGAATTGTCACCAATCCTCCACCACCTTTGGCAGCAATGGTGCCCAGTTCGCATAATTTCTCAATTATATACTTATGCACGTTGATGACATGGTTAACAGCACTGCTGGTTAAATCAAAGTCTTCACCAGAGAACCCTCGATATAGGGCTTGAGAGTGAACTTCACAAAATTTTATCATCGCATCAATGACCATCTGCACAGCTTTCAATATATCTGGGCCAAATTCACGAATCCTCTACAAAGAGAAACAAAGTAGCCATGATGTCAGATGAAGGACAAGTAATTAAACATCTTTTAGACTAAACAAGCAACGAGGATCACACCTGATTCAAGCCAGAATACACTCGCAAAGAGAGAATAAACAATGGAAACTTAAGATATTTTACCCCAACATCAAATGTATCCATTTTTTTAAAAATCAGATTTGATTATGAGAGTAAAAGAGAAAAGAATAAATAAATTATAGAAACAAGAATCCTAGAAGTGTTACTCGCAGCATCTTCCCAGATTTCAGCCAAGATAAGGTGAGTTGATAATACTTTTAGCCTCTTCGTGGGTTTATAATTCATCTAAGCAGTGGTATTGAGGTTACTAGCCTCCAGTTTGATTAGGTGACTTTATCAAAGCAGTTTGAAGAGGCTTGTACAATAGTTTTCTTGCCAATCACACAATTCCTGGATGTTGACAATATTGTTCCTCTAAAATTGACCTTCAAAGTACAATTTTTTTCTGAGTTTGATAGCAAGGAAAAGAAAATAAAGAAAATTTGGAAGGGCTAACCATTCAGCTTCTTAGCAACAAATTAATTTATTGTGCAAGCTGTTAGAACCTGAATTTCGGAAACCAATTCATTCATTAAATTCAGCTGTTCCAATATGAAATTCTCAACCATATTCATCAACGCCTTATCTTCCGAAAGAGGATATCTTGCCAAAGCTGAAAAAATGGCAGCAGAAAATTTCACTGCATCCAAAAGAAGCTGCACAAAGAAACTTAATGTCAGAGAACAAACCTGCTGGAGTGTAATGAAACAATATAGTTAAAAACACAATAATTCCACTCCTAACAAGAAAATAACTGAAAATAAAACACTATTTATACTTAAGCCAGCACAAACTTGAAAAGGAAAAACATCAAAGAAGAAACCATGGAAATGGCACAAAGCGTTAAGGAGAAAGAAATGTATTGGTCCCAGGTATAGCTCACAAGAGTGCCATGGGAAACTTTATATTCTATCAACTGGCTCAATTTGAAAAAAGAAATTTACTTGACATAATCAAGACGGCTAGTTAGTTTTATAACTGGTACAGAAATTCATGGACACCACTGGTTATTCAAGAAAGAAATAATGGATATGAGATGACGACTACCAATGTCGATGATTGCATATCACACAACGGACTTCATTTTCATAGCCCGAATAGGAGATCTTTAACATATTTATGTTAGATTTTTGGGAAAACAAATATTAGAATAGAGATCCATTTCAAAATTGTTTCAAATTCAGGTGAAGAGATAGTGTTAAGTAAATAATTTGTTGATAAAGAGTGTTTATCCAAAAGAAACAATTAATCTAAAGATGGAGTAGAGCTAGAAATATTTTATATTTATCGATAATCTTAAAACTACATGATGTTTCGAATCTACATTCCAAAAGACCCTGACTAAATATCGTAATCTAATATAAAATTGATTTAAGTTGATGGAAGAGCATCAATTAAGTGTGTGCGGGAGTGTATTCACCAAAAATCTACTTGGCCAGCATAAGATGTACATCAACTAATATTTACCACCTGAAAAAACAGGTTGGAATGCTCTTCTTCCTGTGACTCCTGGATTGACATGAGCGTCATCTTTAGATGCTTTCTACACCAGACACTTGCCTGAAGAAAAATACAGCACTATTAAATATCGTAGAAGGTTATCAACTCGTATATTGACTTATATACAGAGCGAAAAATGCTTTGTGTAGCAGATAACAAAAATGTTTACCTTAACTTCGAGTGTGAGAAACTGTCCTAGACAATCGGCTTTGTCCTTCTCTATACGTTTTACAGCCACTAGTAGTATCGTTCTGTTCAACAAGCATTGCGTCACATCCAAACAGGTAAAATCCTCCCAAAACATCAATCTCTCCGTCAAGGTATACAAACATTTACTCGGAAGAGAAAGATATAGCAAGTTTTTCAATAAATGTTTGTCTAATAAAAACTCGGTAGTAATAAAATTAAGAAAAACCAGATCAAAGATTGCGTCAAGCTTTAATTAACTGCTAATTACATGCAGCTGTGAAAGTTAAATGCCGATGCCTCGTATTCAAATAGTATCACCGACGAAAGACAAAGCATTAAAAATGAAAAGAATCGCAGAGCGGATACTGTAAGGCTTTCGACTAATGAAATCAACTCTGATTTACAAGATAAATCCAAATCCTCCAGTTTCTTGAGCAGCTGAATACGACTCTCGACGACCTGTAAAACATAAGTTAGCAATTAGCCACTGGAAGGAAGTATCTTCCGTTCACCGAAATCTAATGGCAGAAATTGAACAATGCTCGAGAGAATAGTAAAAGAATTCGTCCAGAAAATGAATAAAACATTGCAGATGTACGAAATAATTCTGAATATCTACAATTCCTTGCATACTCAATCACAGTTCGCAAGTCTTAATTAACAGTCAAAGTATGATCAAATTCAACTTAAATTCATCATTTGAAAGTTAAGGAAATGAGATGAAAGGAATAAAATAGCGCTTACATCGGACGACGAAATGGCATCGATAATGCTCTGCAAATCGCTGTTTGACCTACTTCTCTCCATCGCTCCGCTTGCTCTCCCTGGCGCCCTCTGACACTTGAGTATTTGAAAGCTTTCCCGCCTTCAATTTTAGTAAAGAAGATTAGTGGTTTTATATGACCTTATTTTCATTTTTGCCCCAACTCGAGCCCATAAGCCCAACTATATTTATTGTCGTGACTCATGCTTCAAAACTATTTTAAATTTTAAAAATTATATTAAGTTACAAATTAAATTGTGTTGTTGGGAGAAAATTAAAATTTAATTATTTTTTTTCCTTTGATCTATCAACTCGTCCATCTCATAGTTTTAAAATTGTTAGAGAGATTTCCACACATCTATAAGAATAGGAGAGGTTTCCACCGCTAAAGAATGCTTTGACTCCCGCTAATGTGACAGTGAGGATGTTGGGCTCCCAAGAGAGGTGGATTAGTTTCCATAATTTTATAAGGAACGCTTTGACTTCAGGCGTTGTGTCAATAAGGATGTTGGACTCCCAAGAGATATGGATTGGTTTCCACAACTTTATAATAAATGCTTTGACACTGGCGTTGTACCAACAATAATGTTGGGCTCCCAAGAGAGGTGGATTGCGAAATCTCACGTGGGGATCCCAATCCCAACAGAGCGCCTTCTACTTCTAATAGGCCATGAACTAGATCAGAATCATTCTCAACGAGTCCATAAGAAGTGATCCCATTTTTTTCATCGGGTCCGGATAGAGACCAAAGATCTTGAACGACCGATCCGGCAGAACAACTCAAAAGATAAAGAAGTATCGTTAATTTCTTCATGCTCGTTCCAAGTTCGAAGTACCATTTGTACAAATAAGAACCCCCTTTGTTACATGATTTCTTCTTCATATAGATAGATATAGGATCTATGGAGCAATTACTTAGAAGTACATTTTGTGCAACAGCCCTTCCTATCTGATAGAAAAGGATCCCATGATCCTGAACCGATCTTACCTTCATCTTGATAGAAAAATAAATCATTCTTTATAAGGAGTGGAAACTTCTTTCTACCACATAATTTTTTAACTACGGAGCTGATGACCATACATAATGATCCATATCGAACAATAATTACTAGCGGCAGACTTCGACTATTACAATTGATATATTAACACGGTTAGAAATAGAAAATGGAAAATGGCCAGATTAAATTAATAAAAAAAATATATCAAGAACTATTGAATAATAAGTTATTAGTTTATTTATGTTAGCGTCTCTCATTTATTTTTAATAAGCATAACACTAACTATTGAATAATAAGTTATTTAAAACTTCAAAATAATAATTACATATATTAAAATTTAAAATTTCCATAAAAAGTATTTTAAAATACAAAATAATTTTATTATATAATTTTCAATCAATTTTATTTTTGAAATCAAAATGGTTAGATTAAATTAATACAAAAAATATATCAAACTTTGTATTTTATTTTTAAAAAAAATATTTTTAACATTATTAAATTTCCATAATATAAGAGTTTCAAAATATAATTTAGAGTTAATTTGGATGGAAAGTCTCATAATTTATTTAAAAAATATTAAAACAATATTCTTACATTTCCAACTTTCATTAATAATTTTTAACTTTTTAAAAATCTAAAAAAATACACTTAAATATTTTAATTATATTTTTTTGGATAAAATACAAATTTCAATATTTTTATTATCATTCACCTATCTTAATTATAAATAATTAATAAAAAAAATTAAAATAATATAATTTTGAGTCGATAGTTTTATTTAATAAATTTCCATAATATAGAAGTTTCAAAATATAATTTAGAGTTAATTTGGATGGGAAGTATTAATAATTTATTTAAAAAATATCCTAACAAACTTAAAAATATTAAAATAATATTTTTACATTTTCCATTTTCATTAATAACTTTTAACTTTTTAAAAATCTAAAAAATATACTTAAATATTTTAATTATACGTCTAAAAATGTTAGTTTTTGGATAAAATACAATTTTCAATATTTTTATTATTATTCATTTGTCTTAATTATAAAAAATTTAAATAATATAACTATGAGTTGAAAGTTTTATTTAATTTTAATTTTTTATATATATAATTTAATTTTTTTTTTTTATTGACTAGTTTTAAATTCTATTATATAAGTACAAGTTTATACCTAAGTTAATATCATTTTGTGGTTGTTGAGCATAGTTTAGTGAATAGAGTATAAAATTTTTAAAATGATTTAATTAATTTTATTTTTTTTATAATATTTAAATTACAGTAATTTCGATTTTGAAAAAGGAAAAAAGTAAAATTAGAAGGTTAAAAGTTAATAAAAATATAAAAATTTATTTAAAAATATAAAATAATTTTGTTATATTGGCGGACGAAAATTGTTTTGAATTTTCTTATGTTAAATTTTGAACAAAATTTAAAAAATACATCTAGAATGGGATGAAAATTATTATTAATTTATTTTAAAAATATGGTTAAAAATTTAATTTAAAATAAAATATCAACAAAAATTCATTATTAATTTTAAATATAAATAATTAATAAAAAAATTAAATTAACATAATTAGTAGTAAAAAGTTTTAATTAATTTTATTTTTTTATATTATTTAAATTACACAGTAATAATGATGGAGATTTAAGTTCAAAAGCTTAAAACGTGGAATGCATAAATCAGACAGTTTTACAAACACAAAATCAAAATACTACTACTATAATAACACGACCTGAGATTAACGTTAAACATTAAAACAAGATAATTGGGTGGAAATTAACATTTTAACTCCAATTTATGGCCGAACTGAGCCACCGACTGGAATGCCGCCAGCTCCGCCGTCTCCACCACTGCCGCCTGATCCTCCGATCCCGCCAGTTCCACCATTTCCACTGTCACCGCCGCCGGATCCTCCGACCCCACCAGCTCCTCCAAGTCCATGTCCAGGTATACCACCGATTCCGCCAACTCCGCCAACTCCATGCCCAGCTATACCACCTATTCCGCCAGCTCCACCAAGTCCATGCCCAGCTAGGCCACCTATTCCGCCAGCTCCCCCAAGTCCATGCCCAGCTACACCACCCATTCCACCACCTCCTCCTCCTCCGCCACCCATACCGCCGAGGCCACCCGGGTCACCAATTCCGGCGAAACCTCCAATTCCACCAAATTTTCCAATCCCAGCAGACCCACCCAGCATCGGCATACCCAACCCTGCATACCTGTTTAATTATAAATTTTCCAATCCCAGCAGACCCACCCAGCATCGGCATACCCAACCCTGCATACCTGTTTAATTATAGATTTCAAAATTAGATAAAAATTAAAATAAAATAATTATCAAACTTAATATATATATATTTTAATTTAATAATAGTTTTATACGTACCCGCCCATGCCAGCAAATCCACCAACTATATATATATATTTTAATTTAATAATAGTTTTATACGTACCCGCCCATGCCAGCAAATCCACCAACTCCGCCGTAGATAAAATTCTTCTCATCACGAACAGCACCACCACCCGCCGTCGGCAACTCCGCCGCCTTGACTTCAACGGCGTCCACGAACTGCACCTGCTCAGCACCGGGAACATTACGCGCCGCCGCAACAACAGCCAGGAAGAGCATTACAAAGAGCTTCTCCATTATCTCTCTCTCACTCTGAATCCCTGAATTTGCATGTAGCAGTGGGGAGGGGTTTATATAGGGTGGAAAATGGGAAAAGGAACAGTTGGAGGGCGTAAATGCAAAGGCAAAGTCAAGTTGTCGAGGAGTAAATAGCAATTAAATTTAATTGCACTGAGACAATGTCATTCTGGGAAAGTGAAATTTTTAAATTTTGTTAGCAGAAAGTTAGTTGAAGTCATTTTGAAATACGGGAAATATTTATGGAGGAACGCCTGCATGTTGATTCCTTTGCATGCCCGGAATATGTCTGTTCCGTCACCATATATATATTTTTTTTTCAATATAAAAATAAAATATATTCATAAATTCAATCATATTTTATAGGTAAAAATATAATATAACGTGTATATATATATATATATATATATTTATTGTGAGATTCCACATGAATGGAAGAGAGAAATGAATGCCAACAAGACGCTTGATGTGGATGATGAGATCCCAGGTCGGTTGGAAATGAGAACAAAATATTTTTTTATAAGAGTGTGAAAACTTTTCGCTTAACATATGAATTTTAAAATTTTTGAGAGAGAAAGTACAAATGAGTCTACTTAACAGCCGTGTGTTTAAAAATTTTGAGGAGAAAACTTCTGTGTAGTATAAGCATTTTCAAAACTTCGAGAGAGAGAGCACAAAAAGAACAATATTTGGGTCTCCTTAGTATAAGTGTGTTTAAAAACTTTGAGGGGAAGTGAAAGTTCAAAGAGAATAACATATGCAAATACAGAAAGAACAATATCTGCAAGTCCAATATAAAAAAGAACAATATCTGCAAGTCCAATATAAAAAAGAACAATATCTGCAAGTCCAATATAAAAAAGAACAATATCTGCACGTCCAAATACGACAATATCTGCTATATGGTATTGGTTAGATAGGTACATTTTAAAGTTTTTTGGGTTAAAATTTGTGTTTGAAAAAAAAAAATATATTTAAGAGTTATTTTGGAAATTAAATCAAATTTAAATTCGTAGGGAATTTATTATTATGGAAAGTTGAGAATTTAAAGATTTTTATATTATTTTTTTTTTTTGTCTAGCAAAAAAAAATATAAATAATAAAAATTGAAACAATTAAATTAGAATATATTATAATAATTAGTTATAGAATATATTTTATATACGAGTTAATAATTTAATTGGTACGGTATTTTATTCTCAAGATTTAATATTTTATTCTCAAGATTTAAGTTAATTTATAAGTATTAATTAGTAATTTGTATGGTATTTAAATGAATATTAATGAATAATACATCCTTTCAATCCCAATTTTATAAATATAATAAATTTAAAAAAATTAATAAAAATAAGGTACAAAATTGGGATGCTGGCGAGTCCTAACAACCCAAACCGTTAAAATATGGTGAGAGTAAACCCCTCGTAACATATTAGGGTTTAAGATTTGGCGCCTTGAGCTGAAATTTTGTACTTGGAGCTCGACCGAATCATGTGATCGGGAATCAGCGAGAGCCGAGGGAAAATGGCAACAATTGCTGCTTCAAGAATCGGATCGGTGATACCTCGGCCAGTGACAATTGTGACCGGCAACGCCAAGAAGCTTGAGGAAGTTCGAGCAATCTTGGGGAGCGCTCTCTTCCTTTTTCGGTCTCTCAAGCTTGACTGTACGTTCTCTCTTTCACTTGCTTCTAATTTTTCGATCTTTTGTGTACTTGTTTGAATTTGTTGGGTTATTACGAGCAGTTTCGGAGATGCAAGGCGAACCGGAAGCTATATCGAAAGAGAAAGCTCGTTTGGCTGCTATCTAGGTGCACATTCTTCTATATTTGTTGATAACTCGATTAAGAATCACTTCATATGAATAGAAGACTTAATTTAAAATTGTAAAAGTAAAAAACAAATAGTCAATGCTGTAATTTTTGAAAAATTTGATTAAGAATTCGAGCGTTCTTTTTAAGAGAAATGAAACCTAGAGAAATGATGAGAAAGAAAACACAATTTTCAAAAATAAAAAACCAAACGGTTATCAAAATGGCCTAAACAATGAAATTTAGATATATCAGTTCTGTTCTATTCGAAGATACTTGCCTCTGCTTCAATGCTTTGAAGGATCTTTCTCCCAGAGTGTATGTTTAAATCATTAACATGGTTATTGTCATGTTTCAGGGCCATACATGTAAGTTGCTACTTTATCAATTCCCCTGTTGAGGTGAAGTTTTGTTTATTCTTAGCATTTTGGTTGAAACATTACGATGATGTCATTGATAGATGGATATATGTTCAATAAAGTCTTAGAAGAATTTAATTGAAGGATCCCTCTGATTCTGAGGGAGAGAAGTGTATTTCTTTGTCCAAGGATGTTACATGCTTGAAGAGAAGTAGGACTTGATTTCCTTAATTACCCAAACGATAACTTTTGCCGCATAAAAATTGATCTCTACTTCTTTTTCTGTATCTCTTTAATTTCAACAAAACTCATTGAGATCCATCCACGATTGTTTTCACATGGATCCCAATTGAGTTTGCATAAGAAGCATACTTTATGTCTTTAATTCACTGAAACTCCTCTTATTGGCATAAATACTGAGGTAGCACTCTGCTGGATAGTTCTTTTTCCTTGGGGTGTAATGTGGAAAAGCCGCCATTTCTTATTTGAGCATCCCCGTTGGGAGGTAATTTTTGCTATAAATCTTTTTTGGGATCTAGTGATGGATAAAAGTCCGAAAGAAGATTGTAAAGTGGAGTAGCTTAACTTTTTCGAATGGTGGTCGGCTGGCGCTTGCTCAATTGGTGATTAATAACCTCCCTTTTTATTATTTATCCCTTTTTAAATCTCCCAAGAGTGTTACTAATATGATTGAATGGATGGTTAGGAACTTTTTTGTGGAATGGGGGTTTATCAAAGGGTTCTTGCAGCCATCTCGTAAATTGGGGGAAAACTTCCCTTACTTCTTCATAATGGTGGTTTCGGTGTTGGGGCGTTTTAACAGAAAACAGCCTGCTCCTCAAGTGGCTATGGAGATTTAACCAACAAGAGAATGATTTGTGGAAAATGTTGGTTCCTAGTATTTATGGTATTGGACTGGTCAACTTTCCCACCTAAAACTGCAATCAAGGGGAGACCGAGGTTCGAAATTGCAAAGAATAGTGAGTTTTTTTTTTTTTTTTTTTTTT